GAAAATTATTTTCTTATGAAAGACTATTGATAAAATCCTAATTACACACGTATTATTTGTTACCTTTTATTATATGAAGAATACGAGGGTTATAATTAGTGGCGGCTCATGGTAATTTAAAATGGGTGTTCACTTTTTCCAATAATTTTATCATTTGTAAGTTCAGATCAAAACTTTGTACAAGAGTCAATATCGCAGTTTTTTATTATTTGAGTTTGTATTAAGTGTAGTTATTATTATAAGATAAAATAGATACTTAAATTACATAAAGATATATGAAATACAATAAAATTCAATAAAATACAATAAAAACAATAAAATACAATAAAATAAATAAAAAGAAAACATTAGCAAAACTATTATAAAAGAAAATTTTTTACAATTTAAAACTTTTAAAACTTTTACTGGCCTTGTTGGTGAAGTAGGTCATTCTTTACCTTGCGCTTAAATGTACCAGACTGTAAACTTTTTATATTAATGCTCAATGAATTGAAGTGTTTGACGGCATTGTATATGAAACTCCTTTGAAAAAGGGAAGTAGTATGTCTAGGCATAGACAATGTCATTTGCCTTCTAATATTTAGATTGTGTAGCTGTGTTCGATAGATCAACTTGTTGTTAAGGTATTCAGGACCAGATGAGCTTATTAGATTATGGACAAAAGCAAGTAAATAATAGATATATAAATTTTTTATATTTAACCATTCCAGTTCCATGAACGACTCTGAAATATGATCATATTTACGAAGACCATAAATGAACCTGCAGCAAGTATTTTGAACTTTTTGAATGCGATTTGCTGTAACAACGTCAAGACAAGGGTAATAGACAATAGCACAATAACTGATTTTACTTATAATAAACGTTTCACATAGATATTTCTTCATTTTCCTGTTAAGTATAAACTTATTCGCATAAAGAAGTTTTAAACGATGGTAGCATTGGCTAATTAAAACATTTACATGTTCTACAAATTTTAAGTTTTCGTCCATAATCAAGCCAAGATTTTTTCCGCAGTTTACAATGGGTATGAGTTCATTATTAATGGTAAGACTCAAGTTGTTTTTTATATTTTGTCTGTAACTATGTGGGCTAAAAATTAATAATTTAGGCTTAGATGGATTAATACGAAGATTGTGTTTTAAGCAATACTCATTTATGTTGGAAAGATCTCGATTCATTCTGGTCTTAGCTCTAACTACATCTTGTGGCTTGAAGCGGTGTACAATTTGGGTATCATCAGCAAAAAACTGCAAACTGCTCGACTCCACATTTAGTTCTAAGTCTGAAGTGTAAATTAAAAATAGCAAGGGTCCCAAAGCCGATCCTTGGGGAACACCTGATTCGATTTCTCTAAGAGTTGAGGACTGTTGATTGATTACAACTTTTTGAAAGCGATTTTTTAAATACGTTTTAACGAATAAGAGAGGTTTGTCAGTAAATCCGTAATAGCTGCATTTAGAAATTAAGAGTAGATGATTTATTGTGTCAAAAGCTTTGGTAAAGTCGAGCAGAGCAAGTGCTGTTGCTTCTTTACTATCTAGGCCTGTAATAATGGTATCTGTTAGATGGCAAAGAGCTGTGGTTGTACTGTGTTTTTTGCGAAAACCTGATTGGTGAACCGGCAATAAATTGTTGACACTAACATATTTATAAACCTGATCGTACACAATTTTCTCAAGAACTTTGGATAAAATGGGAAGTAGGCTTATTGGTCTTAATTCAGTATGAGAAATAGGGTTCGCAATTTTTGGAAGAGGTATTACTACTGCTCTTTTCCATTGATCTGAAAAGTAACCAGTTTCTAGGCAGCAATTTATAATATGTGTCAAATACAACGAGATTGCCGGTAAGCAAAGTTGAATCATTTGAAGAGTAATTCCGTCAGAACCACTCGAATTTGACGCAATACTATGTATTACCCTAATTATAGTATCTTCATCAACAAGTGTAAACTCAAATTTTAAGGAATTATTAACGCGATTAGTTCGGTAGTGTAATATTTTTTCAGCACATGCTTCATTACTATTTTGAAAAATAGAAATAAAAGTATCATTTATTTTGTAAGGATCCGCTAAGTTGGAGGGGATATATTTATCTTTATTACTCTGCATACCCATATCCTTTAATGTTTTGAAAAATTTAGATTTATTTTGTTTACTAATATTTCGAAGATAGGCTGATTTTTCGCTTCTAACGGCATTAAGAGCAAAGTTCCGCATCCTTTTATATTCTTTCCAAGATTCGGAAGATTTGTTGCGTTTAAATTCTAATAAGGCCTTGTCCCGCTCTTTAAGAATTAATTTAATATTTGGTGTCATCCAAGGTGCATAGGTTTTGCTAACACGTATTTGGTGATATGGACAATGAGCGTTAAACAAGTTTAAAATATTTCTTGTTAAGAACCGAACTTTGCTTTCTATGTCATTAAAGTAAATAATTTGATCCCATGGTATCGTAAATAGATCATATCGAAAAGTATCTAAATTGAAATGGTTAAAATCTCTAAAAGTTACAAATCTTTCTTTTTTGACACGAGAATCAATTTTAAAAATAGCGTATGCGAGACGATGATCGGAAAATAGATCTGCGTTAATTGTACCGCTTTTTAAACATGTATTTGTATTGTCAACAAAAATAGGGTCAATCAAGGTCGCTGATGTTTCGGTTATTCTAGTAGGTTCTGAAATCACCTGTTTTAATCCATAGGCGGAGAGGCAACTATTTATGTCGTTATTTGGATTCAAGTGATCAATATTAACATCACCAAGAACAAAAATATTTTGATATTCTGGTACAACTGATGTCAGCGCGTTTTCGATCAAATCAACAAAAGCGGGAATAGAGCCTTTTGGATGACGATTAAAAGCACAAACAGCATAATATGAATTATTAATCTTAATTTTTATCCATAATTGCTCTAAGTCCGAATTAGCATCCGACGTTAAGTGCCTAATCAAAATCACAATTTATGTTTGATACTTATTGCTTTTTTCGAGACATACTTTATTACCAACTGTAAACTAATTTACTAACAGCCTTATTTTTATTTAATACCTGCAGTGATCCAATTTACCATAACATCTAATATTTTGAAAAATACTAAATTATACGAACAATGCAATAAAAAGATGTCATTAAAATAAAAGATTTATGGTTTGTAAGCAACAAGAGGTTAGAGGGTAACACGATTGATAATTACAGGCAAATATAACTTTATATAGGTAAACTATTTAAATGTAAATACCTTTTCTTAGGTAACTTTTCTCATCGAGCATATTAAATTAACTGGTTGATCCGTTTTTCCGATTCAGACTTTTAAAGTAAAAAACCATTTGTCTCTTTATCTTTATCTAATTTTTATTTTACATTTCCATTTCCGTAATGATGTTGAGTAGTTTCATCATCAGAATAATAAAATTTTTCCTTTTAGCGGGTTTCGTGGGAAAAAAATTTACAAATTTTTTGCTAACTTCTTACTTCATAGTATTTACAATTGGGTACAAAATAGACCATTTTGAAGTAGTCTTTGTATGGTCTTAGACACTAAAACAAAACATAAAACAAATTACAGTCGTAAAACTTTATTATAGGTAAATAAAACCACATAATCTTAAGAAGTTTTTATTTACCTTGCGTTAAAGAAGTTTTTTGGGAACAATCGTTAAATGGATATACATCCTTCCAATTTATTAAAGTTGCCGTTCTCAATTAAACACATTTTTTTAAATGATCACAAATAATAAGATAATCTTAAATTTAATTAAAACCGTTTCATAATGACGGAAGACGAAATGACAGTTTGTTTGATTTGGTACGGTGTTGCCAGAATATGTTTTTGTTATGTACCAGATTTGTCTAAAAAATATACCAGATTCCTTAAATGTATCAGATTTTTCGAATTCTATTTGCAGTGACATCTAATTCATTGAAGGGGAAAAAAGAGGGTCTTTATTGATAACAAACCCAAACAAGGAACACAATATATATTTTTTACACGTGAAAACTGATGCACGCAGAATGTACTACATCTAGTACAATTATGAATTGTACCAGACTGGAAATACTGATTTGGCAACCTTGTTTGCTCACTCGTATTAGGCTCACTCGTCATATTGCGCCACAGACACAGTATACTTAGGTATACTGTGCCACAGAGACGCGATCAGCCAGAGGACAATGATGTACCAAAAAATATAGATTAACACGTATGAAAATAAAAATATTAAAATTAAATTTATATTTTTATGTAATTTTAAAATAATGTGTTTTTATGAAATTTAACTGGGTGTTTACTGCACAAATGGGCCAATGGAGAAAATGACCCTGGTTATAATTAACTTTTTGGCTATCTGGAGATCTAATATGTTAAGATAATTATTTGAAAATTTCAAATAAGTCAAAAGTTAATTTCTCGAGAGAGAGAGAGAGAGAGAGAGAGAGAGAGAGAGAGAGAGAGAGAGAGAGAGAGAGAGAGAGAGAGAGAGAGAGTTCGAGAGAGTTCGAGACATCTCGAGACAGCTCGTCGAGAGATGACTGTTTTTAAAAGAAGATGAGAAGACCAGACCAGAGACGAGAATCTCCCCTCTGGCAGCATCACTATCCCTGGTGCATGCATAAATTTTTTCTCCTCATCAATTCTGTTTTTAATTTTTTTTTTATTATTTTTACTTTAGGCATATAAAAGGTATATTTTTCATAATTACGTAGGGGGAATTGGAATATATTTTCATATTTCCAAAAGTACATTATAGTTTTTTTCGTCTTTAAAACTCAGAGGACTTTAAAGATATAAGTTTTTTAAAATCTCAGATTACTAAAACATGTAAAACATTTATGACATCCCTCGTATCAACAGGGGCCAAGTAACTGATAATAACTATAATTATAATTATTATTGTTGTTGTTGTTGTTGTTTTTAAATTAAAATGTCCTTTAAGTTTTATACGATAAGATAAAAACAGAAATATAACTAGTAAACTTAGTATTAATATTATGTACATAGTTTAAAAGTGTATCAAACGAAATAGTTTTTGGAAAAATGGGCATGGTACTTCCAGAACTTTGGTCAAAAAGCTGTAGTGTCGCCATATCATTAGCATCTACACAATTACATAAATATCAACACATGATAAACTGGAAAAAAAGTGCTTCAATATTAGAAATTGGCTTTGCTGATGGACACACTTCCTCACATTGTTTAGCGCCAATTTTACCACAAGATTATAGTGAATTTGTTGCTTCAGACATTTCTAAAGAAATGATTAATTATGCTAAACAGTATTTTAAAATACCTAGATGGAAATTTGTCCAAATGGATATTGGAGCCAATGTTCCTGAAGAATTTCATAATAAATTTGACCATGTGTTTGGATTTAGTGTTATGCATATGGTTAAAAATCCAAGGTTAGTTATAAAGGGTTTACCTAAAAAATTAATTTTGTTTTATGTTAATAATAATAAATGGTTTGATTTAAGTATTTTTGAATTTACTTTTAAATGAATTTTATAAGACTTTTTCCCCATAATTACAAGAAATATACAAGGTGTTTAAAAAAATTTCCATTCGTCTATTTTTTATTTGATTGTTTCAGAAAAGCTTTTAAAAACATTTACGATATGCTAAAACCAGGTGGATCAACGTTCCTTATTTTTTTCGAAAAAACTCCCATCGATGATTTGTTCGATAGGCTGAAAACTCATCCGAAATGGGGAAAATATGGACAAGAAAAAATGATTTCCACTTACTATTACAGTAAAAATACGAAAGACGACTACCAAAAAGATATAGAGGCTGCCCAATTCAAGGATTATACTTTTAATGTGGAACAGGAAATGTATAGGTTTTCTTCTGAGGAGGAATGCGATAGTAAGTATTTTTTAGCAGTTTTTTGTGTACCCTTCTGACGGTTATTTGTCTTATTTTTTAGTTGTTACTATTTTTAATTCATAGTATAAAATAACTTAGTATATCGTGTCTACACTTTTGTCCAAAATTTACTTTTATGCATAAAAATTTACAGAAAAATTCGCTTCTCCTTTTAGATACAGGGTGTTTTATAGGTAAACGGACAAATAATAACCGTGGATAAGGAACACCACGATGACTATAAAAAAGATTATAACTAACGGACTGTTCAGTATTTTTTGTGAAAATTGGTTTACTTGTTTCACTGTCTAAACGACTAGCGTAAAAAGTTGAAACAACACCCTGTATATTAGGTTTTTCAAAATCCGATATTTTTAAAGAGCACAAAATATTGTATTAAAAAATGTACTTTTTGTAGTTCCGCATTCAATTTTAGTGGTGACATTTTAAACTCGTAAATTTTTTATTAAAACCGGTTAATAATATTTTATAAAATTTATTTTTGTTACTAAATTAGGAAAATAATTTACTCTGATTTTTTAAACTTGTAAAATATGTCTGGTAGAACTTGTGTATCTCTGTTTCTTAAAATGAGAAAAACAAACTTGGTAGATTTTCACTTTATTTTAGAAATAAATAAAAATTATAAATTACACGACAATTTTTTTAAACTGACTAGATAGTAAGCCACTTGAGCACAGTAGAGAGTGAAGTTAGCTACGCATTCTTCTTCTTTTTTCGGAACTGTCAGCTGCCAACAGTATTGCCAACCTAACCTATGAAGTTAGCTACTCATTCTTCTTCTTTTTTTTTTTGCGGAACTGTCAAATGTAATTCTTCTTCTTTTTAATCATGGCCTCAGCTGCTAGGGCTATTCGGCTATTTTTCTTTTTTTTGCGGGACTGTCAACGTGAAGTTTTAGCTACGCATTTGCTTTCCACAAATCTGGGAAAGTAGCAATGAAATTTGTAGATATGGCAACGTCGCATTACATGGAGTAGATGGCAAGTATTTTTACATTTCCCCAGACATCGAGCGCTTCTGTAGCCTTAAAGGCCCCAAAAAACGGCAACGGTGTATTGTGCCACGACGCTTCGATCGAGAGATCCGTTAGGCAGATAAGAGCATATGTAAACGGGTGAGGAGGGGGGCGGAAGAGAGCATACAAAAATGGATCTTCGTTGGCGAATTAAAAACAAAACCAAAACTAAAAAAATTGTTCCTTCTTACATCGAATCATCTCGTGACCATTCGGAATCCCAACTGAAAAGGTAGACAACGCAGTTTTACACCTATTTAAATAATTAGGCAACACACATGGCACCACGAAACATCGCATTGTGCAACGACGCTTCGATGCCAGCTGGACATGTCAACGGGCGGGGAAGGGGCGGAAGAGAACACCAGCCACCTGTCACAGCAAGGAGAATAAAATATACATCGACGTTGTCAACAATGTATAGCTTGTCAACTGTCAAAATGATACAAAGGGGGATATCAAACGGAATATCAAAAGTAAAAATAATAACAAAGAAATGGTGACGTCACAAAGTCAAACTTTGCAGCAGCGTTTAGTTTTTGAATAAAGGCCAAAACAAAAATTGTAAAAGCTAGTACTCACATAATTATTTAATGTATCCAAATAAAAATTACTTAACACATCACTGAATCACATGTTGAGATAATGATAAGAACAATATATAATTGCAAGTACCCAACTATTCAACCGATATAATATAATGATACATACATTATTCAGTTTGTTGGAATCGGTTCATTAAGAGAATTTCAAAAATATGCAAATATACAGGGTGTTTCATTAAAAAAAAACAACACCGACTATGGCATACTTGCGTGAATCACCCTGTACATTTAAATTTATGTTTACATAACGCACAACTCAATTCAAAAGTTGACGTGTCTCGGCATTTTTTACAATTTTATAAAATAATGACATAAAGAATTTTATTCCATAAGTGGTTTCCACACTGTATATAGAGGTAAAAAGACCATAGGAGTCATTACTAAAAATAAGTGCATCTGAGCCTGGACAGAAAGTTGCAGAGCTGAAAGAGATGAAAAGTCAACAAAACAAGCACGCAAATACCTTTGAAACAAAAAAATTAAACAAGAAATGCAACAAGTATCTGCGCATCAAACTTTGAATTATTAAAAAAATTAATATAGTCAATCAAACGGCTAAAAAACATAGAAAATCTTTGGAAAATCATAGAAATTCAAAGCAAAGCTTCTGCTTCAGAAGCTTTACATTATACGTGACCAACATGTTAAAGAATGACAACTGATACATGGAGGAGTATAAATAAGGTAGGACAAGGAAAGACAAATAGGACACGTTGTAGAAACTCATACACACAACAGTGTAGACCCAAGATGATGCAGAAAACCCTGAAGAAGAAAAGGAAGAACGAAACGTTGAAAGGGTGACAGTCGTAGAAAATCAACGAAATCCATAGACAGCCTCCTTAAAATTTATTGATACGAGAAGCCAAAAAGGCCTAAACATTGAATAATACTTAGAAATCATGTAGAGAACAGTACAGGCCTAAGACAAAGAACAAAAAACTACTGGATAAGAAGAGGAAAAGCGAAACATTGAAAGAGTGATATTCATGGAAAATCACAAAAAAAGGAATAGAAAATCGTAGAAATCTTTAAAGAATACACGCTGCTGCATTATCAAAGGGGCCGTAAGTGGTTAGTATAGAAACTGTAATAACCAAGGACACATTGCTTCTCGTATCAATAAATACGTGAAGGAAACAATCAAAAGTTCAATATTGAGAATAAGTATAAGAAGAACGCCTGTGCGGAATCATTTTAGTCATACATCATAGTCATTGCCCTATTACTTACAAGTACAATAAAAATATTCTACGTTCATGTGTCATTGTATATTGACAAAAACAGGATTTAATCTTATTAAAAATTAATACAAAATCTATAGCTGCAGATTGAAAGCTGCCATAATAACGAACATCTTTTTTAAAATAACTACAGAAAACCGTTTAACAGTTGTCGTCCGATTGTACTCGAAGTATCTTCACTTAGTTATCCATTTGTTTTATTTTCAATTTCATCTTATTTTCAGCACACTTTTTTCATTAATTACTGACATTTCAGTATGGTATCCTCGCTTATTTATATTGTATCTTTCATTATCCTAAAAATATGTCATCAGTCATTACAGCTTTTAGTTTGTTTATTCAGCCTAAAAATATAACAGCTATCGTTAAAGACATCTGTAAACATTGTACTCACTTTTGCCATAATTATTGACATTTCATTAGTTACGCCATTCGTACTTATTTAGTTGCTGTATATTTCTAAAAAATAAGATATCGCTCGTTAAATTTAGCATCACCACTATTGTCTACAAATTTATCTCTACAGTTATGTTTACAATGTTCTCATTTTGTTTTTTATTACATCTTCTTTTTAACAAAAAAAAAACATTAAACATTGAACCCAGCAAAATTAAAAACTTTTCACTTACTCAAAAGCAATTATCGATAGTCATCATATTGCGCCAGCATTTCTATTCATTTTTCCTTTGTCCTAAAAATAATCTAGCTCTCATCCATTATTATCATCATCACTACACTATTTGTACAGGATTATCCTTTCATGTATTTTAGTTTCTCATTTGTTAATTTCTACAAAATGATCTCTACAGCTATCTTCACAAAATCCTCATTTTTTGTTTTTTCATTATATCTTATTTTCAATATACAATAATATGGCATTTTAAATTAAAACAGCCAATGTTGAAAACACACTTTTCATTTATAGGTTCATATCTCCTCAATAACACCTCAATACCAGCTGAATAACAGCTCAATACCCGCTGAATACCAGCTCAATACTTGTATAAATAATGGGTAAGTCATTCGCTTAGACTATGTCGTCAGAGCAAGTCCTAAAACTTAGAAAAATATTAGGGATAAGTATAATAAGTACATCAAAAACGTCAAACTAAAACATCAAACGAAAGCGTTAAACGAAAACATCAAACGAAACCTCGAAAAGAAAACGTCAAAAAACATCGAAAAGTGATGAAAGGTGCATGCTTCTACAAGTAGAAAACGCATCAGGGTCGTTCGTTTTCATTCATTGTCATATTGTCGTTACCATTGTCTGGATATTAATAACAAGGTAATACAATACTATTCGTCAACTGTCGTATACAATCGTTAAGCATTGTGATACTCTACGTTGATCTACAAAAAAATATGTAGATATCTGAAAAAATTATCTGTAGACATATGTAGAAGGTGAAAAGTCAACAAAAACAAGCAGCATATACAGGATGACATCGTTTCCTGTTCGATTCTGAAGCATGAGCTCTACAAATTCTATATTTAAAAAAAAATAGTACGCAGGAATAATAACTTTACAAATGAATATTAATGTTATAAAGAAAAGTAAATGCCTTACATTACTTTAGAAAAATCTACATACATTAAAGCTTGTTAATACGTTGGTGACAAACGAAAGCCAAACAAGATAAAATACGAGCATTTGAATATTTGTAAATCAGAATAATAATACCTAACTTACAAAAATATAAAAATATACAGAGTGTAATAACAAAATTAATTATAAAGGCTACCGAAAATGTTTTAAATACATACGTTTTGAAAACATCAAAAATAAAAAAAAAATATTTGTAGGCAATCTGCAGACGATCTGTAGATATCAATACCAATACTAATAAAAAAATCATTAAACAAAAATAATATTACCATACTCTTTGTACGACTAATGTAAGATTTCCTTCAACAAAAATTAAAACAGATATATTTTTATATGATCAATGCCAAGTTCTACATTTTACAAACTCATACGATATAAAGGACGTATAAGAGAATATTTGTAACAAAAAAACATGGAAAGTGGTTAAAATTATATAAAATGACAATACCTAATAAAATTATGCTGGAACTACCAATGAATAAACGAAAAACTTTTCCAAAAAA